ACCACTATTGTAAAGATAGTCAAATCGACATATATTGTAGTCTTCAACTCATTCCAAGTAAAGAATGCATTTATTCAATTTCTAAATTTGCCTGTTTACAGTCTGTTGAAATAGAGCTTAACATAAACAATGTAGCTCGTCAAAAAGATCTTTTGTGTGGGTTTTATGCAATAGCAAACTGTGTTTCTTTGTGTTTAGGCAAAGATCCTTGTAACTTTAGATATAGTGAGGGTTTGATGCAACAACATTTGCTGACATGCCTCGAAAATTACAGAATAACACAGTTTCCTGTAGATAGCTATAGAACTGTTAGAAAAAATATAGTTCGTACCTCAAGCTACTCTTTGTATTGTGTGTGTCGCAGTATTTTTAAATCAACAGACTCAATGATCCAGTGTTTGATTTGTAAAGAGTGGTTTCATTCCACTTGTGTAGGTCTGTCCGATGCAATGTTTACAGAGTACAAAACAAGCCTACGCAAGATTTACAAGTGCATTAGATGTGTGTAGAAAACTTTTTCATATTTTTTTAGCTATTCTTTTAAATGAATATTTTAATATATTAAAGTAACTTGTAAAACTTATAAAATTTAAAGTTAGAATAGTGTCTACAGATAAAATAGTATTTAAAGTTAGTGTGTATGTAGAGTTAAAATAGTTTTTAGAGTTAAAATAATGTTTAGAGTAAGAATGGTGTTAAGAGTAAGAATGGTGTTTAGAGTAAGAATGATGTTTAGAGTAAGAATGATGTTTAGAGTAAGAATGATGTTTAGAGTAAGAATGATGTTTAGAGTAAGAATGATGTTTAGAGTAAGAATGATGTTTAGAGTAAGAATGATGTTTAGAGTAAGAATGATGTTTAGAGTAAGAATGATGTTTAGAGTAAGAATGATGTTTAGAGTAAGAATGGTGTTTAGAGTAAGAATGATGTTTAGAGTAAGAATGGTGTTTAGAGTAAGAATGGTGTTTAGAGTAAGAATGATGTTTAGAGTAAGAATGGTGTTTAGAGTAAGAATGGTGTTTAGAGTAAAAATAGTGTTTAGAGTAAGAATGGTGTTTAGAGTTAGAATAGTGTTTAGAGTTAGAATAGTGTTTAGAGTAAAAATGGTGTTTAGAGTTAGAATAGTGTTTAGAGTTAAAGTAGTATTTAGAGTTATATATGATGATAAATGTGAAAGGGTACGGCTTTCCTGAATGATGAGTTAGGTGATATGATTGATCTTTCGTGAGTCATTATTGGTTGAAATAACTAGATATAAAACCTTGTTTGAAAATCAACTGTAATAGTATTTGTAAAAAAAAAAAATACAACTTTATGATAATGACACAGAGGCTCAAGCTTTGGAGCTATACATGTTCAACATTTGCAAAATGTTTTTGGATCTTGTTGAGAAGAGAAATAGTACCATTAGAAGAACCAGCCCAAATGTGACAAAAGTATTCCTATCAGGGATGAATAATAAATTTAAATAGGTAGAAAATGGAAGTAGCAAATAGAACAAGTAGTATTGAAATGGCAAGCAGAATGAAGAGAGATAACTGTATATTGTGCTAACTTTGTAATGGATTGTACTCAAACTTTAAACATTAAAACACTCAAACATTAAAAATATATAAAACATAAAAAACAAAAAAATAATCTTAAGATGTATAACACAGAAGACTCTGTAATAGTGTTGCCAATAAGAAGTTTGTTATTTAAAGATTCAAAGACCTTGCTAACAATAGAGAGACTGATTGCAGTATGGTTAAAAAAGAAAATAATATTTTGCCTTTTAGATGAAACACGCTATGATTTCTGTTTTATGCTATTGTTATAAACTAGGAATTGATTTATTTGTAACTTCTAGATATATTTTCATTTTTCTTTACTTTGGGCACATTTTGAACTCTGAATAATATATGATATTTATTAGTCCAGCATGTATTATTTTATTAAACAAACTCCTAATATATGTGTGTGTATGTGTGTGTGCGCGTATGTGTATATGTATGTATATATGTGTGTGTATATATATATATATATATATATATATATATATATATATATATATATATATATATATATATATATATATATATATATATATATATATATATATATATATATATACATATATATATATATATATATATATATATATATATATATATATATATATATATATGATATATATATATATATATATATATATATATATATATATATATATATATATATATATATATATATATATACATGTATATATATACTATAAATTTTGCTTTAGTCATTTCAAGCTTGTAGAAATATCTTTTATTGATTATATAGAAATTACATGTCTACTTTATATGATATTATTTTTTCATTTCTTTAGTTCTACCTCGCTCTTCTACCTTGCATCATAATTTTGGTTTAGTGTGCCTACTGTTGAAATATGGTTTAAATTTAGTAAATTATCGAGTTTTGATATTTACTTTATTGATCATAAGGTAAAAGTTTATGACATGAAATCCTATTCAAACAATTAAGCCAAGAGTTACTTTGTTTACTGGTATTATTAAAAAAAGGTTAGTTATAATGTTATTTCTATTTAGTTTTAATATATTACGTTTGTCGTGCTAATAATAATAATTTTTGCTGTACAAATGGAAATAATGTCATTGTAACATCTTACTAATTTTGTTTTAGAAAAAAGATATTTGTAACGCTCGATGCACTATTTATAGCACACTTATAATATATTTGTTTAATACTAATGGTAAGGAAAAAAAAAGGTTATTTAAGCAATATTTTTGGGAAAAATATCGGAGAGATATTTTTACTTACTTCATGAAATTTGGCGGAGCATTTACTATAAGTTTGCGGATCACTTGACATAAATTACAAATGTTAGGCGGATCACTTCATGAAACTTGGCGGATCATTTACTATAAGTTGGCGGAACAATTGATATAACTTGGCGGATCACTTGATATATATTGGCGGATCACGTTGTTTTATAGTAGGAAAATTAATTTGAAACATGTAAAGTTGTTATTCAATATTGAATTTATTTAAACTATTAACAGTATTTGTAAGCAATCAAAATGTTAGGCGGATCACTTCATGAAATTCGGCGGATCATTAATTATAAGTTGGCGGATCACTTTATATATATTGGCGGATCACTAGATATATATATTGGCGGATCATGTTGTTTTTTAATAAAAAAATCACTTTGAAACTTATAAAGTTGTTATTCAATATTGAATTTATTTTAAACTATAAATAGTATTTGTAAGCAATCAAAATGTTAGGCGGATCACATCATGAAACTTGGCGGATCATTAATTATAAGTTGGCGAAACAATTGATATAAGTTGGCGGATCACTTGATATATATTGGCGGATCACGTTGTTTTATAGTAGGAAAATCAATTTGAAACATGTAAAGTTGTTATTCAATATTGAATTTATTTAAACTATAAACAGTATTTGTAAGCAATCAAAATGTTAGGCGGATCACATCATGAAATTCGGCGGATCATTAATTATAAGTTGGCGGATCACTTTATATATATTGGCGGATCACTAGATATATATATTGGCGGATCATGTTGTTTTTTAATAAAAAATTCACTTTGAAACTTATAAAGTTGTTATTTAATATTGAATTTATTTTAAACTATAAACAGTATTTGTAAGCAATCAAAATGTTAGGCGGATCACATCATGAAACTTGGCGGATCATTTACTATAAGTTGGCGGAACAATTGATATAACTTGGCGGATCACTTGATATATATTGGCGGATCACGTTGTTTTATAGTAGGAAAATCAATTTGAAACATGTAAAGTTGTTAATCAATATTGAATTTATTTTAAACTATAAACAGTATTTGTAAGCAATCAAAATGTTAGGCGGATTACTTCATGAAATTTTGCCGGTTCATTTACTATAAGTTGCCAGATCACGTTGTTTTTATATAAGAAAATGACTCTATAAAACATAAATTTGTTTTTTTACGGACCTATTTTTAAAATATATGTAATTTAGACTTTGAAACATTAAACCAGAAACTTCTTACCTATGAAACTGAGGCAATCAGTTTTTGTATTTCCTGTAGATAAAATATTATAAAACATTTTTGTAATTTATTTAAGTAATAATACGCAAGTAACAAAAATGTTCAATGTTTAAACATTTAATGAAATAAAACTAAAATTGAATAGATTTCTTTTCCATTTTATAAAATATGACTGATTGCATTATAAATCTTACCCGATGCAATGATCCGCCCCGCCGTTTGTACTGTTTAATTGATCCGCCCCGCCGATCCGCCCCGCCCCGCCGATTGTACCTACCCTAAACATTATTTTAACGATTAAAGTTATAGAGATATATAATGGAAAAAAAATGTAAATACTGAACTTATATCATATAGAATTTTCAAGAGATCGAAAACATGTTCAGACGATTTTCCTGAAAGAACATTATCGTTTAAAAATCGATATTTTTCGTTTAACTTGGGCTACAATGCTCAAAGACTGATATTATTAAATGTAAATATAATACAGCTTTTTCAAAAAATGATCCATTAAATTATGTTGAATAAAATGCTAAGCGTTGTTTTTTAATAGAGCATCAAGAATTAAAAAAGGAAATTGATAATTTTAAAAAAGAACTTCAGCACGAAATATAAAAATAAAGATTTATTTGAAAAATTAACTTTAACCACATCAGTTATTACTATGAAAACAGACAAACTTGTATATAAACATAATCCAAACAAATCGTGTTATTGCA